AACCTATAGGGACGAGTATTCCAGAGAATGCAGCTCGATTGAATCGTCATAATAAACGAACTGACCACTACATCCAGGTTGCAGTTACGGTTGAGAAATTCAGTCAGATAACATAACAAGAGATATAGGGACTATTGAATCTGAAATCAATGACCTGACTATAATATTGTTCACTCCAAAAACCTGAAGGTTATGCCTTTCACTCCAGGATAACCCTACTTAAAGGTTCAATATGTTTTACTCATCGGTGTTAATTTTCAAATAAGGGCAGACACACCTCGCTGTTCAGCAGTCTAACATTAAACATGTAACTAACTAATATTGTTTCAAGAACTAAACCATCTTTGAATTGAACTAATCACTTTCACACCACTCAATCAAATGCCAATATTTCCAATAAAATCAACAGATGTCATTTACACTTAATTCTATGAAACGTCGAAATATCAGTAAACAATTTACTTGAGTTATGTAGTTATGTTTCTGATTCGAGGATTTTCAATACAAATGTGAAGACAGTTCTACTACTGTATGGAGTGAAAACTTGGAGAACCACCAAAGCCATCATCCAGAAGATACAAGTGTTTATTAACAGTTAGTTGTCTTTGCAAAATACTTCGGATTCGTTGGCCAGACACGATCAGCACCAACGAACTGTGGGAGAGAAAAAAACCAGATTCCAGTGGAGGTCCATCAGTTTTGTAGATTATAAATCAACTAATTAAAATGTTTTAATAAGGATCAAAAGTAAATGTACCTAATGCACGGTTTATTGAGATACTTTGATGAATTGATATTTCTCATGTGTAAATAATAATCTTATGCAATTTTCTATGGAATAATTGCCTCATTAAGTAACAAGCTAACAAACTTCTGTTAGTTTAAATAATCATGATTGCATCTCAACATTTCAATCTGTTTTACTTACTTTTGCTTTCTTTTATTCATCTAATTAATATACGAATAAGCTTTACAAATGTGAGTAAGACTATTTCGGAAAAGGATCGTCTTATTATCCATTCTCAATCCAGGCGACTGGACCGATGGGCAGAAAACTGAAGGGATCAGTTCAACTGGCCTCGAGCCACTCTTCGGTTACCCACGATCTCCAGTCATCCTGAATGGCAAATCGACGTAAGTCCCCTTAGTCTTTACGAAGTTGAGAAAGCGTTAGGAAATCTGAAGCCAGGGCGAGCTGCAGGTCCTGATAGACTGACCGCTGAGATATTTAAGGATGGTGGTCCAGTTTTAGCAGCTAGATTGACTGAGATGTTAGGTAGAATCTGGGAACTGGACGTAATCCCATCCGAGTAGTCTCAATCATTGATTGTCCCAATCTATAAGAAAGGACAGAAGTCTTCTTGTAACAATCACAGGGGAATAAGTCTAACTAATATAGTATCTAAAATATTGGCCTCAATAATACTTCGACGCTTAACGAAAGCTCGTGAAGAGCAGACTAGAGAAAACCAGGCTGGTTTTCGACCTGGACGTGGCTGTATAGACCACATTTTCACACTACGACAGGTCCTGGAACACAGACATACATTTGGGCTTCCCAGAATAGTCGTGTTTCTGGACCTAAAAGCGGCATTTAACTCAGTAGATTGTGAGGTTCTGTGTCAGTGTCTGTCATTGAAAGGTGTACCAAAGAAGTACATTAACCTTATACAAGCTCTCTACTCGAACACCACTGGTCGAGTGAAAGCTTATGGCGAACTGTCACCGGAATTCTTTACTTCAAGTGGTGTCCGTCAGGGATGTCCACTCTCTCCATTCTTGTTTAATTTATCATAGACATGCTCCTAGAAATAACCTTATCCTCGTCTGAATTTTCAGGAGTAGACCTTCTACCAGGTGGCTCGCTTATCGACTTAGAATATGCCGATGACATTGTCCTACTTGCTGACAAAATGCAGTCTTCTGACTACCATAAGCAACAATGCAAGCATATTCGGGAAGCGATATTCCCCCTCGAAGTGCAAAATGTTGCTTCAAGATTGGGTTTCACCGGCACCTGAACTAGTGATAGGGAGTGAAGTAGTCGAACGTGTTGACTGCTTCACTTATCTACGGAGTCTCATTAGTGCCGATGGCCTGGTGACTGATGAAATCTCAACTCGGATACAGAAGGCTCGATTGGCTTTTGCCAACCTGGGTCAAATGAACTGATCTACTCACATACGAAATTCTACGTTGCATCTGAGTGACTGACTGACGAAGAAGCTTTAGAGGATGGAGAAACCTTTACATATCTGGTCAGCATCATCGATGAGCGAGGTGGATCTGATGCAGATGAGAAAGCGTCTATTGGAAAAGCAAGTGCAGCATTACCGCAATTAAAGAACATCTGGAACTCAAAACAACTATCAATAAATATCAAAGCCAGAATTTTCAATACAAATGTCAAGACAGTTCTGCTTTATGGGGCAGAGACTTGGAGAACCACTGAAGTCATCATCCACACAATACAAGTGTTCATTTACAGTTGTCTATGCAAAATGTCTCCCGTCCGTTAGCCAGAAAGAACTAACCAAATTCCGACTAAGAAAGAAATTAGGAAGAAGCGGTGGAAGTGGATAGGACACACACACACTGTGGAAAGCACCAAACTACATCACAAGACATGCCTTAACATTCTTCAAGACCAAAGAACACATTACATCTAGAATCGGAGACAGACTGGAACAGAAATCAGCTAAAACTTGTAAGGAAGGCCCAGAACAGAGTAGGTTGGATAATTCTGGGCGGGGTGGGGCTGACCTATTTATTGTGCTCTATTCGGTGTAACAGGCATAAGCAAGTAAGCAAGCAAAGATAAGCTTAGTAAAATATTTATTTTTGAAATAAACATATCTTTTTTTTTCAAAATTATGATGATCATTTTAATTAGCTCAGGAAAAAAGAAAAAATTATTGTTGACGTAAAACACAAACCGGAAAACCAATGTCATTATTGACTGAATTTCCATAATATTATTCAGGTATATATATTTATATATATATACTACTTATTATTTTAGATAATACTTATTATACGATGGAAAGATTGTGTCATTTTTTTTCCTGATTAGTTTCCGTTGTGTTACTACTTCTAAATTATGCCACAAATTCACAATATTCTTGTCTGTGTTCACATGTTGTACTAACTAAACAGAAAAAAAAACTGGGTATGTTTGATTGTAAGTGGGGTTTGCAACACACATACAAACAACAGCTTGATTAGACACGTTTGCTGATCAAATTACTGTCTTCACTGTCTCAGTTGTTCAATTGTTCAATTGTTCAATTGTTGTTCTCTGTACACTTAACCATAAATACGAAAAAAATACTAATAATTGAAACCTCAATGAAAACCGAACAAACAACACTCATTGATACTGGTGTTTGCTGACCATTAAAAAACCAATCCAGAAAATGATTGTTCTTCTTTTTTTTCAGTTAGAGCTTTGGAGGTTTTGTGTTTTTTTACACATTTGCAATCATTGATCAATCAATCATTGTTCGACCACCATCAGAAACCTAGAAGTACTGTTGAATACGTTCGTTCCGTCCTGGTATGGGACTCATCAGCGGTGGCAGTGCGAATCCACGACTCCTCTTGCACCTCGCAGGATCCGAACCCGGGACCTTCGGTATTGTGCGCGAACGCTTAACCATCGGACCACTAGGCCGGCATCCAACGGTGTTAATTTATAACTCTGATTGATCAGGGGAATTTTCGCGACTTTACCCATTTGTCTTTTGTAGGTGACTTCATTGATCACGTCTTCTTCTGTTATAGACTGTTAAATTATTATTATTATTATTAACCAATATACGGGTTTCGATAAATCACCAGCACATACAACTTAATACATATATTTTTATATTTGATACACCTGACTTAATAGCACATTCATGAGGGTATGTGGACACAGGGAAAAATTCTCTATCATTTGTGTTACATATATATAAATATATATGTACATATATACATGTCTACAACGATACAACTGTGAAAATATCGATGTATACTGATCTTTATCAGTTCTAGACTATCGTCGCCTTCCTAAATATAGTAGTAGTAAATAAACAAAATAAAATCAAAAACAAGGGAGAGAAACACACTTGTTTCTTCTTCTAGTGTTTTCTTTTTAATTTTTCCCTAGTCGTCACAATCTATTCCTGTAGAGCAGTTGGGCGTTATCA